AATTGAAAGTAGACCTTCAAATAACCTTGAAAATGAAGGTCAAGGTCATTGTCAAGGTCATAGTTCAATCAGCCCCTTCATATCCAACAATTTTTGTTTTAAACATTTTTTTATTTAATCGCGATGTTTGAAGTTATTTGGCTGTCTAAGTTAAAATGGATCACCCTGTATACAAAGGACCGGTTTCACCATCATATTTACATCATATATCATATGTAGATAAACAGGTAAACAAAAAAATATTTTTTGAAATGAAGATTCTCCGACTTAAGGGGATGCTGGAGTGTCCTGTTTTACCATTAATTTTTAAAGACTCTTTTCTCTTAATTGTGTTTATGGATTGAAATATGTTTATGGATTGAAAAGTCCTTCTCCACAATTAAAGTATCGACAACAACACAGGCTGCCAGCTACAATTTAATACGAAAAATGAAAGAAAATTAAAAATTGTAATTTTGTCACCGGCTTCTGTAGTTCAACTCGTCACAATGTGTACTGCATATAAGAGTTTCAGATTTTACCAGTTTAAAATAAGTAGCCAGCAGCCTACAGGAAACCTCGAAGAACAATATTATGCTTTTAGAAACGAGGTAGGGGTTTTAGTATAAAAGAAAAGAGTCGCCGAAAATTTCGTTTGTAGGGGAAAGTTGCTGAACGCGTACCACTTAACGTATTTTTTATTATATTTCTCATTTAGAACTGATTTGTGTGCAAATGAAGATTAGAAATTGTACTTTGATATTTCAAGTACCTATTATTACACGTTTTATCTTCTATCAATATCAAATTAATTCACTGGGAGTCTTTTTGCAACATGCTGCAAAAGGTCCGATTTAGGCAACCGGTCGCCTAAATCGTACCTGTAAGTATCCCAAATCGTACCGTCTTTGAAATTGACAAAATATAATATTATTTCTAATTATTCTTATACAGGCGTTTGGAAACATTGCTCGGATGCATCATGATTGTTTTATCTTTTATGTTGTTCCAAAGCAAAGACAAAATGATGCATTCGAAGCACCATAACCTAAAAGGTAGCGATTCCGGATGAAGCCATATATAAGAGGTGGTACGATTTAGGAAACTTAATCGATTTTATAAAAATATTTATTTAATCTTTGTAA